AGCATGATTCAGCAGTGCTAAACTTTGTATATATGCTGCACAAGCTAATATCTGCTAACCAGTTCAATAAATAACAGTGATTACATCGACTTTATAAGATTGTTTTAATTTTAAACTGTTACATTATGTTCTGCTCAGATCACATTGAGCTAAATAAGATCAAATCTGCTGACTTGTGTTGTGAAATGAGACGTTTTCCTGTTTATGTTCTGTCAATAAACCCATAACACAAACAGCTTTTCTGGCATTATTTAAAACATTAGATAGATTATGTAAACTGTAAAATATTAATAATAATTGGATTAATATTACTATTAATAGTTTTAATGATTTTTACATCGTCAGTCCTTTTTTTCTGCTCTGTTGTCAACATGTACAGTAATGGTAAATCCAGACTCTTGACCGTTTAGCGTTAGCTGTTAGCTTCTCCAGCCGATCACACGGTCACGTGGTTTCTGAGCACTCCAGCTGTTCTGTATAAACTCCTTGGGTGCAGCCTGTAAGGTGTGGTGGGACCAGCTGGTGGCCACAGCCCCCCTGTTCCKGCACCATTGCTTGGAACCAGACAGTCTCACAGCTGATGGGTTAAATGCAGAGCTCACAGTTCATGACAGGATGGAAACACACTGATACATTAAACTGTAGCTCAATTTCTGTAAACTATAACCAATTTTATGTTGGGTAAGGTTGATTAGCTGTGGCAGCCATGTTGTAGATGTTCATTTAAGGACTATTTACTGAATGTTTTAATTTAAAATGTTTGGTTCATCAGATCTTTTTTACAGACACTAGGACAAACTTATTGTCCTGTCTGTGGAGGCAGGGGATAATAWTTCAGTGTCATCATTAGTTTCTTTAACTAAACAAGTGAAAACAGTTTGTGATGTAGCTTCCTGTGTTTCAGAGCTTTAGGAGTCCCAGCTACARACTACGTGATGGAGGGTCGAGTTCCTGTCAGTAAACTGGGGGGTCTGTCTCTGCCTGTGAATGGTCCCGGCAGGGTGACGCTGTCTCTGCTGCGTAAAAACGGGTGAGGARCATCGCTCACTGCTCTCACTTAATGTTGGACAGCTTTAGTACAAACGTCTCATTTTCTCCCTCTCTTCTCTCCTGTCAGTCTGGGAGCACACGAGGTTGAAGTGGCACTGAGCAGAATGATTGACAGGTGCCAATCAACTGGATTCAAAGCCAGCGCAGAGGAGCTTGTGTCTCTTTTCTCACTGTCGGATAAACAAACAGCTGTGGAGATCTGTGGCCTTTACTCCAAGGTACTGTTAGTATAAAGCACATTTATTTGTTTTCTTTTGCAGCAGTTCYTCTAAACAACAAACTGACTTCTTCATCTAGATCTGCACCAATCACAGGTGGCTTTATATGTGACCCATCACATCAAAACCAGGATTAAGTCCAAAARTGGTACAAGGAGAAATAGGCAAATATAGTGTTTTGATTAAAAAGTTTGCAAACAGTGCATTTGCAAACTTTTTAATCAAAACACTATAAAAATTGCATTTTGTCAAAACAAAATTGCATCTTTTCAAAACATAATGATAAATACTTTATCAATGTATCATTTGGATGAACTGTCTGAAATATAATCATACAGCAAAAAATTTGAAGCACTTTTTTTGAGCAGTAGCAACAAAAAACGGATTTTGAGGAAAATCGCCTTAAAATTTTGAGATTTTTCCTGTGAGCTAGTAATGTTTTTGTTTCATTTAAACTGGGAAATCTCAATATTCAAATATAATTTGAGGTTTCCTCTTTATAAGGACATCAAAAATTCCTCATTAAAATGACATAAAATTAGGATTCAGACCAAATATTTATGTATTATTGTAACCAACAAGACAAATTAAGTCATATATGTGGATTTGCTTATGATATCAGGAT